TGTATTTCTGAACAATATATCTCCAGTGAGAGCTCTTTTAGATTATCACTCCACTTGGTAATAATTTCTTATAAATTATTTTCTCCTGTAGGATTATGGGAAGTGCCCGGTTACTGGCGAACCACTTACCATTGATGACATTGTTCCCATCAAAACTGGGGAGGTAGTACAATTTCTTTCACTATCTGATGCGTAGAACTGTTGATGATATTTGTTTAAGCTATTTTAATTTCTTTGACAATTTTGTAGATCATAAAGCCGAAAACATTGCATACAGCTAGCATCCCCGGATTGCTCGGAACGTTCCAGAATGTAAGCCTTAAATGTTTTGCAATTTTGTTCCTACCTTTTCTCTTGGCTTTGTGCTTGTTTTCTTAATGGGAAGTTCACTAAGAAAATGTCCCACTGTTTATGTTATTGGTCATGTAGAGTTTGGTTGATCGACTTAGAATAAATTGTCCAAGGTTGGTCCTAAAATTATACAAGATTCGGTGAACTGAACATATTGGCCTCTACTCTTTGGCAAAATTATTACGTTGATCACCTGCTCGTTTTCTGGGTCCAAATCAAGATAAATTGTTCATCAATTAGGTTGAATTATACAAAGTAATTGCCTGAAAAGTTTAGCTGTTCTGCATTTTTAGGAATGGGACGGTTTGATGCTATCAAATTTTGCACTGGAGCAACAACTACATACTGCAAGGCAAGAGCTAAGTCATGCCTTGTATCAGGTAATTTTGGCTGTGTGTTTGTGTCACCACTTTATGAGGTGCAATGGTCAATTAATTTGTTTTATGTACCCTAGTTTTATTTCCCTCAACCATTTCATCTTTTAGTATGTTTGGTCTATTAATGGGATAATTTTACCTTTTGTTTGCAGCATGATTCTGCTTGTCGTGTGATTGCTAGACTCAAAAAAGAAAGAGACGAAGCACGCCAATTACTTGCAGAGGTGGAAAGACATATACCTGCGGCCCCAGAAGCTGTGACAGCTAATGCTGCTCTGAGTAATGGCAAACGAGGTATGCTTGTACACTTTTTACTCAAAATATATTGGCTAGTTATCTTTCCCTCTTGTAACATGTCACTATACTCTTTTGGTGTAAGTAGCTGCCGGTGATGAAGAACTGGGTCCTAATGCAAAGAAATTGTGTCCTGGAATTTCAGCTGAAATTATTACGGAATTGACTGATTGTAATGCTGCTCTTTCCCAGAAGCGCAAAAAGCGACAGGTACTGCTTATAGATCCCCATCTATCTTTGAACATGCATTTGAATGTTAGAAGGCAAGACCTGACGACTTGCTACTTTTATGTTTTTTTTTTTTCTTGTTTGTAGAAGTCAAATGTAGTTGTGAAGGCATATGATTTATACTCAATATATCTATTTAGATCCTAGTATGCGGTTTGAAACTTAACAGGAAAATGTTGCCACCTCCTGTCTGGTCTTGTGATTTTTTCTTGTATTGGTTCCTGCTGTCTTGATAATTTTATTAATTTTCTGTAGATTCCTCAAACATTGGCTTCAATAGATGCTTTGGAGAGGTTCACTCAGCTATCAAGCCACCCACTTCACAAGACCAACAAACCAGGCATTTGTTCGATGGACATTCTACATTCTAAGGTTTTCTCATCGGATGTTTTCTAATCACATCACTTTATTCTTATTTTCCTCTGTTTCTGGAAGCCACTGCATTGCATCTGATCTTCTATTTATAAATCATTTGAATATAGCCCGAGTCCTTGGTTGGGGAATGGTCATATCATTGTTGTCTTTTTAGCATAATATTTTTATTTTCTCTTACATACCTAGATGCCGTGCCAGTGATTCTTTTTCATTTCTTTTGATATTCTACTATGCTAAGTTCTGATGTGCAAAAGTTTACCTCACTTCTATATTTCTTCTTAATTCGGTGACCCAGGATGTCATTGCTACTGGAGGAGTTGATGCGACTGCTGTTCTCTTTGATCGCCCTTCTGGACAAATCTTGTCAACACTGACTGGTCACTCGAAAAAGGTTTCTAACTTTTTGCCTTAGATTTTTGTTTTAATTTTTTCGTGTAGCTTCAAATGTGTTGACCCTTTTGTAGGTTACAAGCGTAAAATTTGTAGGCGACACTGATCTTGTTTTGACTGCTTCTGCGGACAAGGTAATTTCATATTTTTTATGAATAGTGCTTGGTCATTAGTTCTATAGGAAATTTGTAATCCCACATTGTGAATTGCCTTTGTTTTGAAAAGTAGTAGCTGGCAGATGCATTTGTTTATTTTAAGTGTGAAAAGATGACTAGTAGCCATTGAATCTTTTTCTGTAGATGTCATGATGCTATGTTTAAAAAACTTTGGTTTGCTGCAAGTTATGAAACACATTTTGATCATTCACACCAGAAGTCTCTGCAATTTGTTGGGTGCTCTGTTCGATTTCACAGATGATATACATCACCAATTGTTTGATAGTTATCTTTTTATTACTAAATTAGTGACTTACCTGCAGACAGTCCGTATCTGGCGGAATCCTGGGGATGGGAATTATGCTTGTGGGCATACATTGAATGATCACTCTGCAGAGGTAAGCATGAATTTGAGTAAATCTTATAGTCCGTTCCGTGTTTTTGTAATTCATATACTTTTTGTTAAACTTTAGTTAATTATGCTTTATTCAGGTGCGAGCTGTAACTGTGCATCCCACAAATAAATACTTTGTGTCGGCATCTCTTGATAGTACATGGTGCTTCTACGATCTGTCCTCTGGCTCATGCCTTGCACAGGTCCCAAGCACTTTCCTTAAAGAACTAACTAATACCTGTCTTCCTTTCTAGCTTTGCCTGTATGCTATATTACAGAAATGATTATATATATTCACGAGAAACAATTGTTTGGATTATACTTTCGTCATAAGCAGTGTCATATCAGCTAATTCCTTAAGTCGGTGTATGTTTAGAGTATGAGCTCCTTTCCCCATACGAGCCATTGTCATATTTCTTGTTTTTATTCAGGTATCAGACGGATCAGAGAATGCAGATTACACGGCTGCGGCTTTTCATCCGGATGGTCTCATTCTCGGAACCGGTACTTCTCAATCTGTTGTTAAGATTTGGGATGTTAAAAGTCAGGTAAAACTATGGCCTTCCAAACTATATTACCTATTAAAATCATTAATTGCGTACATTGTTCTTCATTATAGTTTCATTTTCTTGCTGGATAATAGGCAAATGTGGCGAAGTTTGATGGACACACTGGGGAAGTTACAGCTATATCTTTCTCCGAAAATGGTTACTTCCTCGCGGTGAGTACTTTAAACAAATTACAAGAAGGGAGAATACAGCTAAAGCTCTGCTTACATGAATGATTTTCTTTTTGTCCTGGAAATTGGCAGACGGCTGCCGAGGATGGTGTTAGGTTGTGGGATCTGCGCAAGTTAAGGAACTTCAAGTCATTTTTATCTGCAGATGCGAACTCTGGTAAACAACTAACGTATCTGCTTCTAGTTGTTTTGTTGATAGGGAACTTTCTATGTATAAGCTACCTTGAATGAAACTACTTTTTTTTGTGCAGTGGAGTTTGATCCTAGCGGATCTTATCTTGGTATTGCTGCATCAGATATCAGGTGAGTACACATTTGAAAATAGTTGATCAAAGCATCCAAGCTCAGCTAAAGAAACTATCCAAAGAGACCAAGCTTGATAACCTGCACGTTTGGTTTATCTAATTCAACAAAATGTATTTGTTTTTTGGCTGCAGAGTATACCAGACGGCAAGTGTGAAAGCTGAATGGAACCTTATCAAGACACTCCCAGATCTCTCCGGCACTGGTAAAATCCCTTACCTAACTCCGTCAATGGTCACATAGCGATAATGTTCCTAATCCAAAAGCCTTACACTTGCAGGTAAAGCTACGTGTGTGAAGTTTGGTCCAGATGCACAATACGTTGCAGTTGGTTCAAAGGACCATAACCTACGGATATTTGGTCTTCCTGGTGACGAAAAAGCCAACGCCGATGATGACTCTGCTCAAGACTCGTGAAGAATCCGTAAAAACACTCAGACAGCAAATTCCAAATGTTCATCTCCGGTTATATCTCGCTCCAATTTCTCAACTTTTGTTGTATCTTACAGTATTTGCAGCAACGGGGAGAATTTCTTAGGTGCGGGTCATGAGTGAGTTATTGTGATCATCCTCGCTTCCTCTGACATTCAAACGATCACACTCACACACACTCGAGTTTTCTTATAGGCTCTTCTAGTCTCTCTTTGTACCTTCAAAATCTGTACCAAACTTGTTATTTCTGTTGCCAAATGATCGAAGCCATATTAATCAAAACATAAATGTAGAACCTAAACCGATCTGGTTGGTACTATTTGCTCTGTTCCAGACAAAGGTATTTTGCTTATTTTCCGCGTATTCCAACAATGAATCAGCTGGTCTCTGAAGTCTGAAGGACAAAAATTTAATTAAATGTTAAAGAATACCCTTGACTGTACTTTGGTCAAAAATCACTGTGCACAATATTTACATTTTTCCACGAATATAAGATTCGTGATTGGTTTTGCAATCCCATGATTCGTGTTAAGGTATAACCACGTGTTTCCTAACAATTCTAAAGAATGCCTCCGTTTCTCTCTGTCTATGATTTTTCTTTTTTTGTGTGTGAAATGCCATGCTTTATTTAATCATACTTATAACTTGAAATCATAGTTACAACTACAAAATACGTAAACTAAAGCTTAATTGCTATCTACTCGATGAACTTAGGAACGTTTCTATAGTAGTAATTGTACCAACTACAAAATAATACATAACCTTACTAATTATGTTCCATTTTAATTATTGCTGTCGAAAACGTGTTTTCATAAAGTAATTCTTGGGACTTCAATTGAAATGGAACCAAAAGAGTAGTCATTCTAAATTAAAAAGTTAGGTAGTAAATTAACATTTTAAGTGAATCCTAACAATAATAATCAATAATGGTATTAGGATTTACTAAAAGACTGCAAAACACACCAAACAAACGCACTGTAGTCTTAAGACTGGTCAGTGGTGGCTGAAGAAAGAATGAGTGTTTGATTGTTTATTAGTATAATAAAAGAAAACAAATTACGCTCCCTTCTCTATCCTAATCCTATATTTTTCCACATCTCCTAAAGAGAGAGAAAAGAGTGGTCATGGTCATCCACAGCCTCTAAAAAATCTCTCTCTTTCACCATTAAAACCAAATTCAGAAAACCCAGAAGAAGCAAATAAAGAGCTTTTACTGAGCCACCAAACACAGAATTTCATAAACTCCAAAAAAAGTTAAATTCCAAACAAACCCCACAGCAAAAGATTCAATCTCTCTCAATTACCCATATCTCAAAATTCCCATAAAATCTTTCCTCCAAAAACATAACAAAACAACCTCAAACTCTCTTCTTCTACTACAAACAATGTTTTGATTTTTAGTTTCTTCTCCCACACAAACAAAAAGAAATGGGTTTTTATTCACAAAAGCAGCTCTTGTCACTTTACATCATCATCATGGCTCTGTTCTCAGATCTCAAGGAAGCAAAATCGTCTTCACCAGAGTACACAAACCTAATCTACAAAGGTTGTGCAAGACAGAGATTACCAGATCCATCTGGTTTATACTCACAAGCTCTCTCTGCAATGTATGGCTTATTGGTTTCTCAATCAACGAAAACAAGATTCTACAAAACCACAACTGGAACAACAAGCCAAACAAGCGTCACTGGTCTTTTCCAGTGTAGGGGAGATTTAAGTAACAACGATTGTTACAACTGTGTTAGTCGTCTTCCTGTTCTCTCTGGTAAGCTCTGCGGCAAAACCATTGCCGCTAGGGTTCAGCTCTCTGGCTGTTATCTTCTCTATGAAATCTCTGGCTTTGCCCAAATTTCAGGTATTATTACTCCATTATTTGGTTTAATCTCTCTTTCTTCGAAAATGAAATGTTGGTTGTTGAACCGGAATTCGAGTTTCTGTGTGAACTGGTGGATTTCAAGAACCGGGTTAAGCATCAGGTTTCTCCATGTGAAAAGATTGGATTTTTCTTTACTTCCAAATTTTAGTTAAACCAGACAGAACCGGTAAAGTTGGCGGTTTTGGTTGAAAGGGGGGATTTCAATTGTAGGATTATCAAGTGAACCGGTTTTCAATAGTAAAAAGATTGGATTTTTTTGGTTTTAAGTTAGACCAAACCAGGATTAAATAGCCATTGAAGAGATCGGTTTTGATTCAACCTGAGAAACTCTTTGGTTGAATTTTAATGAACCGGTTTCCCTCAAACCAAGCTAGGATTCGACTAAACCAGAGAAACTCTTTTATTATCGAATTAATTTCGCTAAACCATAAAACCGAACCGAGGTTGACTGATTTTAATTCCGGTTTAAATATTCTTTAGGAATGGAGTTGTTATTCAAGACATGTGGGAAGAACAACGTCGCCGGAACAGGATTCGAGCAGAGAAGAGACACAGCGTTTGGGGTAATGCAAAACGGCGTAGTTCAAGGTCACGGCTTCTACGCGACGACATACGAATCGGTTTACGTTTTAGGACAATGCGAAGGCGATGTAGGTGATTCAGATTGTAGCGGTTGCATAAAAACCGCGTTACAGAGAGCTCAAGTAGAATGTGGAAGCTCAATCTCTGGTCAGATATATCTTCATAAGTGTTTTGTCGCTTATAGTTTCTACCCAAATGGTGTTCCCAAGAGGTCTTCTGCTTATCCTAGCTCTGGCTCTTCGACTTCGTCTTCTTCTTCTTCTTCAGGTGAATAATTCTATTTATTTTTCTTTGTTCATTATTATTTTGGTGGAAATTTTCAAAACCAAAGTCCTCGGAAAATCTCGAAAAAGTGTTAAAAAAAAAATGGTTTGATGTTGAGTTTTTAAAATTTATTTATTTGACTATCTTCACTTTAATTCGAAAGGTTTCAGTGTGAGAATTGTTCTTTCGTTTTCAGGCTCCAAATGTGATTTTTCTGTTTCGAATTTGTATTTTTTTCAACATTCTATTTTTTGCTATGATTTCGTAACAATTACTTTTGAGAAAAGAGAGCGTAAACTATAGGAAATGTATTTTAGTAATTTAGATATATTGTAATTTGGATGATTAATAAAATAGTTTGATGAAAAAAACAGGAACAACAGGCAAAACGGTGGCAATAATAGTAGGAGGAACAGCTGGTGTTGGATTTCTTGTCATTTGCTTACTTTTCGTCAAAAACTTGATGAAGAAGAAATATGACGGTATTATTTTTCTCTCTACCAATTATATACACGTATAAATATATACATACGATATTCAAGCACGTATCACGTCTATAAGCACACATGCATACGTAATTCATACGAATTGTCATTTGTCAAAATAAAGATTAGTCACTGTTTTTTTTATAACATAGTAGATATTATCCTTCCTATTTGAGCAAATTGATTTCCAAGATTTGGTTGTAAGAATCTCTATCTTGGCACTTTATTTTCTATATCGAAAAATTAGTGTGGGAACGCATGCATATAAGGAAGGGATACACATGCACATGTTGAGATGAAGAACAAAGGCAAAAACTGATTATTTAATGTTTGTTTTGGCAGATTATTGAAAATAAAGACAACAAAATGAGTCCAACCCCGAAATAGAGGCAAACGTTAATGTGAATTCCGAGGTGCATGCAGTTAATTCCCGATTTTTATTTTTTTCAAATTGTTATTCTTATTTATATTTTTGAGAGGTCGCAATTGTGGTGGGATGGATGAAGAAGAGATATGGGACCATTTTAATATGTTAGAAGAGGGACAAAGTACTTCAATTTATTTTTTCAAAAATGTAAATGATTTTTCTCCTTTTGAAGTTCCTTAAGTACGTACTTGTCTTATTAATTCACTAGCTCTTACAAGTTCGGTAAAGAAAATTCTATTTGAAAGCAGGAACATAAGTGTAGTTTTAAAATGGTTAAATCTTAAAACAGAAATTGATCTGTGCTATGCTAGTTTTTCTGTTATATTCGTATGTTTTAATGATATTTTGTTTTCTAGAGTGTTAAGTTGCTAAAAAAAAAAAAGTGTTAAGTTACTTTTTGAGAACTTGTTTTTTTCTGCCAACTTGTTTTTGGTACTTTTTACCAAAATCTCGTTTGATAAGTAACTTTATTGATATAACCTGGCAATTTTTATTTGTTTCTTGTAAAATGAGTAGGATTCCACCGTGTTTTGTATTATTGTGCCAATTTGCAATATTTAAATCTTATTTCGGCATGTAGAGTTTTTTTTTATTATTCCGAAAATAATCGTGTGCTTGTAATGGTGAATCATGTGCTTGTAATGGTGAATCGTGTGCTTCACAGGTTATGTAATTGTGAATGTGTGTGTTGTTTATGATCGTAATATCATGTGGTCTCGACTCGAGTGAAACTAATAATAATTTTTTAAAGCATTGCTCATGCGAGTTTCATGGAGAAGTGTGAGGCCTTTTATGATTTTGGGAATTGCGAAAATTGATTGATACCTTTTGGGATCAAACATCAATATCTCTGCACAAGTTTTGATGAATCTTGTAGTAATTGTTTTGGCATTTAATTGCATAATATGAGAATGAGGCATAGGGTGGTCCATTTTTGTTACTTTTTAATAGAAGAACCATTATAACAAGAATATTACGAATTTAGGATTATAATAGCCATACAGATACAGGCCTTCAAAAAGACAGAACATATCTCAAACACACACGATCACGAGAGGGAGAGAGAGACACTAAAACTCGACTCTAACCAGACGTAGCACATTATACTGACATTCAATTTGGCCCATGACTGTCTCAATTTGGGCTACAATCAGGCAGCCCATTAATAACACACGAATAAAATCCCAGCTTTTCAAAATTGTGATAGAAGCAAAGCAACAATCACATAGATGAAACCTCTCTTACCAGACAACAAAAGACTTCATAAATCATCTGTGAAAATCACTTTTCCAGAGTAAATTAGCCTCTGGTGTCTATCGTATCGTTGTGCTTGTGCGTAAAGATTAATCATATCTGATATCTCTAAGAATTGACAATTTGATCCTATTAACTCCTAATTTAGCAAACTTCTACAATATCTTACTAAAGATTATCACATGACCCCTAATTTACACTTTCTCTCTCACAATTTTTTACAAACAGCCCAAATATGGAACCTAAGATTGACTTTCTTTATCTCTCTCTCCTCTCTCTGCTTCAAAGGTTAATAAAAACATGGAAAAAAAAGAGATTGGAAGCAATGGCCAATACCTTGTCCATACCATTCGGAGATTTGCCACCAAACGAATAACAATCTAATGATCTATCCAATGGAGAATCGTCCACTCCTTAGGGGGCTAATCAAGAATTCGATTTTCCAATTTCATTGCTCTTTCAATTCTCCTCATTTCATCAAATGTGACTGAATTTTAAAAATATACATTGATTGTGTTCACAAACAATGTCGATGTTTCCTTCTTTCCAGTTGCTAGAGCTCAACATAATCTCTGCTCAAGATCTAGCTCCTGTCTCACGTAAAATGAAGACCTACGCGGTGGCTTGGGTTCACTCCGAACGCAAACTCACCACTCGCGTAGATTACACCGGTGGTGCAAACCCAACATGGAACGACAAGTTCGTCTTCCGAGTCAGCGAAGATTTCCTCTATGCCGATACTTCAGCCGTCGTGGTTGAAATCTACGCCTTACATTGGTTCCGTGATGTTCACGTTGGCACAATCCGTGTTCTCATCAGCAACCTAATCCCTCCAAATCGTCGACCTGGATACAGAAGCAATGACGAGTATCGTCGTACACCACCTCCAGGAATGCGATTCGTTGCGCTTCAAGTTCGCCGACCATCAGGTCGTCCTCAAGGGATATTAAACATCGGTGTGGGAATACTTGACGGATCAATGCGTAGTATGCCACTTTACACCAATATGGACTCATCTGCAGTTGGTTACAGAGATTTGCTTGGGGAAGAAGATCCAAATTTGCAGAATTTGCATCTTAATAGTTTCAAAGGAAGCTCAAAGAATCCACAATCACCATCTTCTAAACAGTACCAATCCGTAGTCTCGAGACCGCCGGTGCTCCGTCGTACAAGGAGCGATACAAGTTCAATGGTCGTTTCCGATCTTCTAAGCAGAGCTGAGCGAAGCCGTGTAGCTAACAGGAAGCCAGCGAGCGCGTTGATGAGCACCGAATCGGAAACTGTACCTACAACGTCGGGACACGATTCGGTGACGTCAGATTCCGAGCTGACGAAATCGATCGATTATGGACTTCCTTACCAATCCCCAAAGATTCCAAGTCAGAGATACGATTCGTACGAGCCTGATTACGTAGATCGATCACCAAACCACAATGTGTTGCGACACGAACCTGATTTCATAGATCAGTCGCCTTATCGATCGTACGATCGTTCACGCAAAACTCCGAGAAGATCAACACCGATGATCGAGAAACCAAGACCGCCGAGAGATTATGACCGTAGCAGTAGCCGCGCTTCACCGTATTTGTCAAGACACGGAACGCCGTTGAGATCAAACATCGTCGCGTCTACTCCGATTAGATCTAACATGGTTGCATCAAGTCCGATGAGATCCACCGGCGTTGGATCAACTCCGAGAAGATCTAACCTCCTCGGTTCGACTCCGTTACGTTCCAACATCGTTGGATCAACTCCGATTCGATCTAACTACATGGCTACACCGATGAAATCGCCTTTACAATTCGGTACTCCGATGAGATCTAATTTAGCAGGACGACCGATTTTAACCGAATCCGAATTAGGTCCGTCGCCATCGGAAGTAGCGCAGAAAATGGCGAAAGAGAGATCACAAGCTAACGAAACAGAGAGTTCGATTCTTAGTGAATGGAGCTTAGACGATGACAGTAACATCGAAGGTCTCCGATCGAAACTCGAGCGATGGCGAACGGAGCTTCCGCCGCTTTACGATCTGGGATCGAGCCATCAAAGCAGCGATGTAGGAAGCGGCGCGATTGTTGTTGCTAATGTAGGTGGAGGAAAAAGCTCGAGGAAGAAAACTCCGGTGGTGAAGAAGAAGCATAATCGCCGTCACACTGAAGGAGGTAACGGACTTTTCTCGTGTTTTAGTAATTTGTGCGGCGTGGAATGCACATTCGTGTGTGGAGGCGGGTCGGATCAAGACGGGTCAAAAAAGAAAGGTGGCTCTGGGCGTTTGCCCCGCTTGGGTTCTGCTGATGATTTGAGTTATTTATGATTACTTTTAATTTTTTATATTTTCAATTTTAGACTGACCAATATTGTTTTATTTTATCTTTTTATATATTTGGTTTGTGAATGAGAAGTATTTGTGAATAATTTATAAAATTCTCTTTTAAATGTCATTGACATATATTTCATGCACTTTTCTAATTCAAATTAATATAAACACACAATGTTAAAAAGAATATGAGATGATACTGATGTCAAAGAAATATATGAGATGGATACTATAAGATAAGTTCATACAAATTTTTTTTTGCTGTAGGGTCATTTTAAAATAATTCTACCATCAAACTATATGATAAGTTCTATATTTAAAATGGGAAAAATGTCGTTTTATCTCCCAACTTTCAAAAAGTGGTCAATTAATACGTCAACTTTATATGTGGCCATTTAAAACATGAAATAAACGTTGACTAACGTTTGAGACATGAAAATTCGTTGACCAGACCAAAATAGACATGCCGTTATCAGTCGTTAACGGAACCTCTAACGCCCGTTATCAACCGCAACGACTCTGTTAATCAACTTTCAAACTGTGGTCATTTTAAACATCAACTTCATATGTGGCCATTCAAAACATGAACTAATCGTTGACTAACATTTGAAACATTAGAATTCGTTGACAAGGCCAAAATAGACATGTCGTCATCATTCGTTAACAGAACCTATAACATCCGTTATCACCCGAAGTTTTAAAATACCCGTTAACGACTCTGTTAGTATGTCCAAAACGACGTCGTTTTGAAAATAATCGAGAGAAAATCAGGACAAATTTTTTGTTTAAAGCATAATCCAAGGACATGGTTTGATATAGAGACAATCGTAGAGACAGTAATTGGAAGCAAACATCGTTTATATATTTATTTTAAATCTAAAAAGGAATCATGGAAGCAAACTTGTAGACCCATCATAGGACTAAATTAGGCATGGGCGTTCGGATATTCGGGTCGTGTTCGGGTCGGGTTCGGGTCGGGTTTTTCGGGTTTGGGTTTAGAAAACTAAGACCCGTTCAGGTATTTTAAAACTTTGGGTTCGGGTCGGGTTCGGATCGGGTATTTCGGGTTTGGATTCGGGTTTACCCAAAGTATCCAAATATTAGAAATTTTGTATCCGATTCTATGCAAAGTATTGAAAAATACTCAAAAAATCTATAAAACCCAAGTATTTTAACCCGAATCTAACCCAAAGTAGCTAAAACACCCGAAATATCTTAACATCCGAATAATTTTGGCACTTAGGTTATTACAAGTATAAATATTACTAATATATTATAACTATGTACTTATATTTTGGGTATGTTCGGGTACTTGTTCGGATTCGAGTTCGGATCGGGTTCGGGTTCGGGTTTTCGGGTTGTGAAGTTTAGAATCCGTTCGGGTATTTTAAAACTTCGGGTGATAACGAATGTTATAGGTTCTGTTAACGAAAGATGACGACATGTCTATTTTGGCCTGGTCAACGAATTCTAATGTTTCAAATGTTAGTCAACGATTAGTTCATGTTTTGAATGACCACATATGAAGTTGATGTTTAAAATGGCCACAATTTAAAAGTTGATTAACAGAGTCGTTACGGGTGATAACGGGCGTTAGAGGTTCCGTTAACGACTGATAACGGCATGTCTATTTTGGCCTGATCAACGAATTTCCATGTCTCAAACGTTAGTCAACGTTTATTTTCATGTTTTAAATAGCCACATATGAAGTTGACGTATTAATTAACTACTTTTTGAAAGTTAGGAGATAAAACGAAATTTTTCCCTATTTAAAATTATGGCAAAATGTGATCACGTGGACCGATGTAAGAAAAAGCAAAGATCACTTTTTGATGGATTCGATTCAGAAATTTTAAATGAATTCATTAACGCATAATACTTAGGGAGATTAAAAATAGAGCGCGTATGAGAACATGGGGAAGAGGCGCGTGTGAGCATTAAGAGCGCGAAAAAGGGAATTTGTGTCTTGCACTAAACGGGTAAAACATCCGGGTGGTCCGCAAAGAGCATTGAACAACGTGTCGTTTTTTATTAAAAAATTTGGTTTGATCAGCCCTTGTCGTTTTGTCTCCTAAAACGACAGCCTTTTTCCTCCTTTCACAACCATATTTTATTTACTTTGCCGCAATTTGTGACAGCATTTCATCTTATTAGTAAAACTAATACTCCCTCTGTTTCGTTTTACTTGTCGTTTTAGAGTTAAAATTTTGTTTGATAATAGTTGTCGTTTTAGGTTTTCGATACAAATGTTTGGTGAAAATTCCAGTTTTATCCTTACTATTTTAATGTTTCGACCAATAAATTTTTTTTATAAAATATATTAATAAAGAGTAAAACAGAAAATTTAATGTTTTTCTTAATTTGTGTGAGAAAAACTTAAACGACAATTAAAACGAAACGGAGAGAGTAATTGGTAAAATTTAAAACAGTGAAACTATTCTACAGTTTTCAGTCTACTATACAGTTTATATTCAGCTGTTTTGTCATTTCATCATTTTAATGATATAAATAAAGAGAATTGTCATTCTACTGTTTTGCTGGTACTTTTTTTTTTTTCTCACAATTCTGATATACTATCCGACTGATGTAATGTAACCAAGCTTTGAGATAAGTTGATACATATAAGAATGCAATAAAATCCCATTTTTAACAGTCATATATATAATTTTTCGTGTCTACCTTCGTTACATATATTTTTGTCATTAAATAAAAAAAAAACTCGTACGTTTATATATATTAACGGAAATTAAAGCAACAAATTCGTTTAGTTAAAAAAATAAAAACAAAGGTGTAAGTTTCTTTTTGGGTTTTTAGTAATAAAACCCCTCAACTAAAGATATATAGTAAGAAAACCCCTCAATTATATATTTAGTGGAAAAACCCTTCAACTTTGAATATGTTCATGCAAATTCCCTTCTGTCTACAGTGTCGTAAAAATTGGACGGACTACAGTTCAAATTAAAACGTAACATTTTTCAGAATCTCTCCTAATCGACTTCTACACCACACAAACTTGAGAGAATCTTACTATGATAAATTATGGTTCATCAATTTAGATTTTTCACTTTGAAAACTTTAGAGCTTAAGTTTGAGGATTTATAATCAGATAGAAGAAGATTTTGTTGTTTTTGTTTACAATTCATGTTGTTTAAGTGTATATATGTCGTTTTTCAGTTTCAATTTAACTGTAACCCGTCTAATTTTTACGATAATGGAGACGAAGGGGAATTTTCATGAACATATTTAAAGTTGAGTAGTTTTTACACTAAATATATAGTTGAGGGTTTTTTTTTACGATTAATCTTAAGTTAAGGGGTTTTATTACTAAAAACCCTTTCTTTTTCGTCTTTTTCTTAAAAGATTGTGTTATAGAATGTCTTAAAGTCTTGACTAAAATTTTCTAAGTCGGATGCTATGGTCTTTATAAAAACACTAACTTTTCTACATATTGATTTTTTAGTCTAGTAGTATATGAAAGTATTCACCATTTATCACTTGCTAAAAATCATGACTAATGCTTAATCTTACTTTACATAATACAATCCTCTTGCAAATTGATACCGTATCATATATCTTTTTTTTTTTTTTTTTTGTTAAATTATCATATATCATATATCATATATCTTTTCTTATAATAGTTATATGTTACTGTTGGGATGTTTATAATACAAGATCAATCAAATCAAACAAATAAATATTTGCAAGCGTGAAGTCATCTCCATCATTTATCCTCAACATTTGATTACATATTATACATCATGAATCTGCTTTTGTCTTTTCCTTCAACTTGTTGCATGTTCACAAGAGACAACACACAATTCACGGTACATTTGAACGATTTTAATTCGTTGCATATTCGTTGAAATATATATACACAAACTAGATCGATTTAAAGAATTCTGGATGTTGAAAAAGCTTTACAAACTAAAAAAATGTATAACTTACATGTAACTCACTAATAGTAAATGAGAAAAGCTCACATCTACATTTTCATTATCGAGTTAAACTACACTTTTTGAGCACCTAGACCTAAGTTTTATTTTTCCGGAGATATATAAGGTGGTTTCTAATATAAAAAATATGTTCTTACACGATGAGAGCTGAAGTTAGGTGAGTTATATTTAATGAACTTAGTTGTTAATGTTTCATTAAAACTTACGAATTCTCCCTAATTCCTAAATATTTTTTTAAACAACATTCGTTTACACTATATGATACTGTAGATTTATGCGGATAATAAATAGCTGTTTCGTATAATCTACTTATTTTCTTATTTTACCTTTATAGACAACCCCACAGCCCACTTGGGTATCGACTTTATAGTTAAAGCAATGTTCGTTGCCTTTTTGTCCTATAAAGGAACGACACAGATAGCTAGGCCTGGGCAATCGGTTTTATCGGTTTGTTCGGTTCGGTTTATTCGGTTTTTCGGGTTTTTCGGTTTTTAAAATTTCTGCCGAATTGAACCAAATAAAAATTCGGTTCGGTTCGGTCGGTACTCGGTTTGTTCGGTTCGGTTATAGGCCAAAAAATCAATTCCGAAATAAACCGAAATTTTTTCCAATTCGGTTAATTCGAACCGAATTAGACCAAAATAAAGATAATGGGCTTTTAATAAGCAAAATTTTACGGTTACAAACGAGTAAAATAATGGGCCATGACTAATTACAGAGTTAAGCCCAAATAAAACTAAAACCCAAGTTCAAAAAAAAAATTAGGGTTGATAGACTCGCCGCTACTCTCTTCCTCCGCTGTGACAGTGACGGCGACGAGATGGCGGTGTCATCAAACAATGCGATCTCTCCGAATAAACCCTCAACGAAAGCTATCATACCATCGTCAAAATCACATGCAGTAAGAATCCAATATCTAAAATTGAGAAAATAGGAAAAGAAAAACAAAATTGAAAATCGATTAGATCTGAAGTTTTACATGCCGTGTGTTTGGTGACGAGGAGGAGCGTAACGGCGACGCCAGCGATAAACGGCCAAAACATTTCGAATCTGAACCACAGACTCGATGTCGGAGAGAATGATTCAAAATAGCCATGGGTTAGGATGATATGGCCAACAACGTTTCAAATCTCTCTTGAATAACACTTGCCATGGATTGATGTCGAGGCTGAGAAAGAAGAAGAGAAGAAAAGAGATGGAGAAGAAGAAGAAGAAGCTATAAAGTTAATGAAGGAATGAGAAGAGATCGAAGGAGAAAAGAAGAAAGGAGATGGACATGAAGAAGCTATAGAAAATAGATCTAGGGTTTTTGTTTTTTATATGGGTGTCTATTAACCGATAAAACCGATCGGTTATCGTCTGTCGAACCGAACCGAACCGAGAACCGAAGTCTAATTATAATTCTGCCGATCGGTTTAGCCTTTCCTTCCTTATCAGTGGCGAAAACCGAAAAAATCGGTTTGTTCGGTTCGGTTAATTCGGTTTATTCCGATTGCCCAGGCCTACAGATAGCCCAAGATAAAATAAAACTAACTAAACAAGTGAGTAAAAATTGCAAAATAAGCGAATATTAAAATTAACACGCAATTCTAGAACAAACGTAGATAACGTGAAAAACATAGAATCAAATATTTGATATCGACTAACTGGTAGTGTACTTGGAACTGCGAGAATAAGTCGCTTTGAAGTTTGAAGAGGTTCAGGTGTCCTGAGTTTTCTAATAAAATAAAACACACTTGTAATTCTTCTTTGGTTGAGATATTACTTTATAGCTAATAGTTTGCAAATAGTTTGCAAACCAAAAAAGGAAGGGGGCTTTGGACTAAGATCCATCCGTGAGGCCAATGATGTTTGTTGTCTGAAATTAATTTGGCGAATCGTCTCGCATGCTGACTCGCTGTGGGTGAAGTGGATAAAAGCATATCTGCTTAAGCAAAGCACACTTTGGTCTGTTAAGCCAACGTACCAAGGTTCTTGGATGTGAAAAAATCTATTAAAATTCAGAGAGATTGCAAGAAGTTTCTGCAAAGTCGATGTAAAAAATGGTGAGAGAACGTCATGTTGGTATGACAATTGGTCAAGTATGGGGCCGTTGTTTGATGCTGCAGGGGAACGAGGCCAAATAGATCTGAGAATAAGTAAGTATACGAGAGTTGCAGAAGTATGGGCTAGCCGGAGACGTCGCCTACATCGAGCTGAAATTCTGAATAAAATTGAGAGGGAATTGCTTCTAAAAGGCGAAACAGAGTAGCAGCAGAGGACATTGTCCTATGGAAGGGGAAGAACAATATCTATCGGCCAAGTTTCTCCACTAAAGACACTTGGCATCTTACACGCACTGTTACAAACGAAGTCGCTTGGCACAAAAGTGTCTGGTTTCCTCACGCTACGCCAAAATTCTCCTTTTGTGTTTGGTTAGCGGCCCAAAACCGCCTATCAACGGATGACAGAATGATGCATTGGAACAGAGGAATTTTCACAGCCTGTGTTCTCTGCAACAACACTCTTGAATCACATGACCATCTCTTTTTCTCCTGTAGTTTCACCTCTGAAGTATGGCAGGCCTTGGCAAAAAACATCTACCGATCGAGATATTCCACAAACTGGCACGATTTGATACTCTCCACTTCTGGTCATTGGCAGAACAGAATTGTAAGTTTCATTGCTCGCTATGTTTTCCAAGCAACGATCCATGCTATTTGGCGGGAACGAAACGGAAGAAGACATGGTGAAGACCCAAACCCTCCAGTTAGACTAATCAAATGGATTGATAAGCAAGTAAAGAATCAACTCTCTTCAATCAAAGCAACCGGAGAAAGAAGATATGACATGGGTCTTCAAATCTGGTTCGCGGCAAGAAGTTAATCTTACAAACAAAGTCTGATGAAATTCTGTTTTTCTTAAACTTTCTAAATTACACGTTGCACTCGATGTACAAACGAATATTTTTCTTTTGAATTTAATTTAACATTACATTCAAAAAATAAATAAATAATAATACTGTGAAATTTCTACATATTTTACTTCAACAAACTTCGATAACAATCTAATATATTCATTTTAAACTCTTAAAAGAAAGCATAAAATGATGATTAATCTGTGAACTCTTGTAAATCCATTATTATTGTTGCAAAATACAACTAGTAAAATTTTAGAAGAGAAAGATGATTTTTTTTTTTTATTACATATTACAAAGAAGATGAATCTAAATTCTTTAAAAGAAAGCGAAATTAACCGATTTTGAATTGTATGAACAATTGATGACTTGATAGCTTCAATAATGTATAACTTGTTTGCCAAAATTCCCAGTTTCGTTCGTATTATATTACATAAATTTTACTATTTTAGTATGCAAGAGGAGTTTTATGACATTATTCGAAGCAAGAGATTTCAAACAATATGAAACCCGCAAAAATTGTTGATAGAAGTTGTTGTTTGATTTCTTTTCTGAAATGAGGCCATATGGAGAAAACGAAAAAAAAGCTGCGAGTGTGGTTTCAAACCAGCAGTGCATAGAATACAAGTCGCAAAGACATCCATATCCCATTGAGTGAGGCGTTTGCGAGTTTACAACAAACATATGTTACAATAAGTTATCGGTTTAGGGATTAACATGTTAGTAGCATGACTGATAAAAGTTGTTTTAATGATTACAAAATAGTGTCGGTAAAAAATGTGAGATGAGTAATCCAAATTATGGTCGAAATTACTATAATTCTGTTTTTAAAATGTACAAATTATTAATGAAAACTAAGTTTGTTATCCTAGCAAATTCATTAATAGAGTATGAAATACAATGTTCTCATTTAGTCATGATTTCGATCAAAAGAGGAATTTCCACACATCAATTGCGATTGAAAAAGTTTTCAAAGGATCATCATAGCATATCAAGAAACATGATGATGAATAATCTCATCACCACTATTTATTTAATAATTCCTTATTATGAAAACCAATTTTGTTCTCACTTTATTTGATACCCATCATAGTCCTCCACGAAAAAAAGAAAAGAAAAGAAATGGCCTATAACATTATTTAATGACAACTTAAATATTCGTTGAAATACATGAATATTGAATTGAAACTAATTTAAAGCGAATATAAAAATGTTATACTATAGTGGTGTTTTCTTAATTATTCAAATCCAAAATAAAATTTCATTAGATACATAATAATCTTTTAAGTTTCAAACCATAATAACATAGTTGATGACAAAATATTGTAAAGATTAATATAATTTTTTGGAACAAAATGATTAGTCATTCCAATCAAAATTTAACAGTTGTATATCCACTATCTTCATATATTCCAATAGTGATCCAAAATTAAACCTAAAATTTTATTTTTCAAAACTGGTACGAAGCTATACATTTTCACATATTTAGCAGTTTTGTTGCCATATAAAGCATAGCTAGCAGATAAGATCAAACGAATACAAGTAAACTCCATATAGCAGCAATCATCAAAACGAATACAAATTCTTGCAAAAATAGAAAAGAAAGTGTGATGTAAAACATAGCTTTCCACAAATACAAAACACAAACCACAAAACAACAATTTTTATTGAATAAGATTAGTTTTATCATTTTTATAAACACAGGAGAAAACAATAACGCAAACGAGAGCACGACAAGTTTGATAATGTCGGGAAGAATTTTGGTTATAATTAGAATTAGAAATAAAAAAGTAAAAGAGAAGAAGAATGGCATTGTTGTTGGTATGGCCACTACCAGACATATGGGTCCTACTCTTCTCATCACTCTCTCCACCACCTAATCCTCTCTCTCTTTCTCTTTCTTCTTCCTCAATTCTTGAAACTCTCTTTCAGATTTCAAGAAACCCTTAAAATCCTCTCTCTGTCTCTTTCTGTTTGTTTGTTTTCTTGTTTCCTTCTCTCTCTCTCTCTCTCTCTTTCTTTGTCTTCCTTTCCCAGGTTTTTTTGCTCTCTCTGCTTTCTTGACTTTCAAAAGACTCTTTCTTTCTTTTGGGTTGATTTTGGATTCTAGGGCTCTCTGCTTTTAGTGGGTTTTTGTTCTTGTTGTTGTTGTTGTGAATTTTCTGATGATTACTGAACTTGAGATGGGGAAAGGTGAGAGTGAGCTTGAGCTTGGTCTAGGGCTGAGTCTTGGCGGTGGAACGGCGGCCAAGATTGGTAAATCAGGTGGTGGTGGCGCGTGGGGAGAGCGTGGGAGGCTTTTGACGGCTAAGGATTTTCCTTCTGTTGGTTCTAAACGAGCTGCTGATTCTGCTTCTCATGCTGGTGCATCTCCTCCTCGTTCAAGGTTCGTCTTCTTAAAGCTTTTGGTTTCAAAGAAAGATCTTTTAAGATGTTTATATCCTTTGTGTGATGTGAAACTGATATTATGAGAACATAGTTTGTTTAGGAGTTTCTTAAAAGATTCTTTAGTGTTTGGAGTATACTTGATCTCACAGTTATGTAGGAAGAAGGGCTCTGTTTTGGAATTAGGAATCTTGAATAGTTGAATCTGTTCTTGAAATTGGTCTTGATTCATTTGGATATATTACAAGTCCTGACTTGATGTTTGTTTTATTTGTAGCAGTCAAGTTGTGGGATGGCCTCCTATAGGGTCACACAGGATGAACAGTTTGGTTAATAACCAAGCTACGAAATCTGCGAGGGAAGAAGAAGAAGCTGGTAAGAAGATAGTCAAAGACGATGAACCTAAAGATGTGACGAAGAAAGTGAATGGGAAAGTGCCAGTTGGGTTTATTAAGGTGAACATGGATGGAGTTGCTATAGGAAGGAAAGTGGATTTGAGTGCTCATTCTTCTTACGAGAATTTGTCGCAAACATTGGAAGATATGTTCTTTCGCACTAATCCGGGTACTATCGGGTTAACCAGTCAGTTCACTAAACCATTGAGGCTGTTAGATGGATCGTCTGAGTTTGTACTTACCTATGAAGATAAGGAAGGAGATTGGATGCTTGTTGGCGATGTTCCATGGAGGTAATACTTCCAAAAACCTTGAGTTTATCATCTTCTAAATTCTGATGAATGTTTTGTGATGATCTAACTCGCTCTTGTTTTGGTACTATCTTAGAATGTTCATCACCTCAGTGAAAAGGCTTCGGGTTATGAAAACCTCTGAAGCTAATGGACTCGGTATGTAGATTATCTCATCTTGATTTATCTTCTTATTTCTCGAAAAGACTCAAGGAAAAAGTTGGACTAAAACATGTTAATATATGCAGCTGCACGAAATCAAGAACCAAACGAGAGACAAAGAAAGCAGCCGGTTTAGCTCTCTTTCCGACGTTACGCTGTTACAGGTTTTCTTTTTTTTGGTTTTTGCAAGTCTGAGATACTTCTGAAGCAAGCATAAAGAAGAAGCATAAGCTAGATTGATCTTATATCCAGTTTGTGTATTTTCTTGGTTCTTCTAATGGTGTTTACTGGTTTTCTTTAGGTTTTTTTTTGCTGTCTTTTAAATTTCGGTTGCGATTTCACTATATACTATGGATGGAAGAGAATGCTCTTTATATCTTTTACTACACTGTAAATATTTGAAGCTTATCTAATATCGTTTAAGGGTTTTAGTTTATGAGTTTACTCTAATTGATCTTAGAACTATGCCACTATATCCACAAATAACTACTCAGATCAAAAGGGGTTACAGAAACATAAGACAAGAAAACAAACAGATTACGAAACTCATTATGTATTTACAAAACGTTTCACACAGTTAAAACTTCTTATAATGAACTACACTAATCTGTCAGTTAAAATTCCCTCTATGTAGTTTCTTTACTCGTTTCCGTATTGGAATCTTGGCATTGTTGATCTCTGATGCTCTGCCTCCAATGGTGTGCTGATGCAAAATTTCAGATTTTGACGGTCTTTATGCTTTTGTAAGATGCTGAAGCCTCACCATGACCCGTCTTGTTTCAGTAACGAGAGAATGTCCAAGCAAGTTGATGTCTCTGCTTACCTGCGAGAACTGGACGATATATATTTAGGGTTTTGTGGAACTTTTGCAGGCGGCTGTTTCTTCATTTGGATAGGCTTGATGTTGGTGGAATAGCCTTACAAATCTCTAATGTGTTTTTCTTCTTCAATTCTGAAAAGACTTTCACAACATCAGGTTTTCGCCAATCAAATCAAAATTAATGTCACTTCTTCGTTGTAAGGCTCTAAGGCTACCACGGACCAAGTCTCCTTGGAAATTTGACCAAGTCTTTTCCAAGCCATAAACAGATTAATGCCATTTCCCTCACTGCTACGCTACTGAGTGTGAACGTGTGTTAAATTGTTCAAAGTGATGTGAATGTAACACAAATGATACGTAAGAGATATCGATGTGCATTTCACTTCTTTGATCTCATTGGCGCTCTTAAGCATAATCTTCTTCAGTCCCCACTACCAAGACTTTTAGTAAGCTCCAAATCTTCGCTGAACATGGATATATATAGTAGACCCATCTTCTCCGTCTCTTTGCTTAAAGCATATTATTCTTCTAAAGATATTACATAATGGCCATGTCAAGTCTGCGTTTCCATTTTCTCTTGGTACTCTTACTTCGTTCTGTTTTTGCTTCAAGCGTCTTAATGATTGATGGTCTTGTTGTTGGACTTGCTGCTTGTCGCTCTGACCAGATTCAAGCACTTCTGCAGTTCAAGAACGAGTTTGATTCCCGCGGTTGCAACCCCAGTGACTACTTCAACGGAGTCGGGTGTGATAACACGACAGGTGCAGTCATGAAGCTACAGCTCCCAAGTGGCTGTCTCACTGGAACTCTCAAACCAAACAGTAGCCTCTTCGATTTGCATCAGCTTCGTTACCTTAATCTCTCTCACAACGATTTCAATTCCTCTTCACTCCCTTGTGAATTCAGCAATCTCAACAGATTAGAGGTTTTGTCTCTTGCCTTTAGTAGCTTTACTGGTCAAGTTCCTTCCTCAATTAGTAACTTAAGCATGCTCTCCTCTTTAGATGTTTCCCATAACGAGCTCACCGGTAGTTTCCCACTTTTACAGAATCTAACCAAACTCTCTATTTTAGACATTTCCTATAATCAAATCACTGGAAACATCCCTTCTTCTCTACTCACAATGCCTTTCTTGTCAATACTTGATTTGACTGAGAACCATCTCACCGGTCCTATTGACGCTCCAAACTCCTCTTTTTCATCTAGACTAGAGAGCCTTCGCCTTGGCCATAACCAATTTGAAGCACAAATTCTAGAGCCCATCTCAAAGTATATCACGCTCAAAGATCTCGATCTTTTTTCCCTAAACATAAGCCCCCCAATTGACTTAAGGCTCTTCTCCTCTCTCAGATCTTTGTTGAGCCTTCGTTTGTCCGGAAATCAGTTATCACCTGCCAGTTTAAGCGCACATCCAGACATCCCATTGAACTTGAAAAGACTGGCCTTGTCAGGTTGTGGCATTAGTCAGTTCCCAAACTTGTTAAAGAGCCTTCACAACTTGGAGATTATAGATATATCCAACAATAATATCAGAGGGAAAGTCCCTGAGTGGTTGTGGAACCTTCCTCGTTTGAGCATAGTGAGTCTTTCTAATAATTCTTTCACAAGTTTTGAAGGTTCGGGAGAAGTTTTAGAGAACTCATCGGTGAGGATATTAGATTTGGCTTTAAACCATTTTGAAGGACCACTTCCTAATCCACCATACTCTCTCAACCTCTTATCAGCATGGAACAATAGCTTCACTGGAAACATACCTCTTTCAACCTGCAACCGAACATCTCTTACCATTCTTGATCTATCCTACAACAACTTAACCGGTCCAATTCCTCGATGTTTGAGTAATTTCCAAGAGTCTCTCATTGTAGTGAACCTCCGGAAGAACAACTTGGAAGGAAGTCTTCCAGATATGTTCTCTGATGGTGCCTTGCTTCGGACACTTGACGTTGGCTACAATAAATTAACCGGGAAGCTTCCAAGGTCTCTTCTGAATTGCTCCTCGCTAAGGTTTGTAAGTATAGACCACAACAGAATCAAAGACACATTTCCTTTCTGGCTTAAGGCTTTGCCTGATTTACAAGCTCTTACCCTCCGTTCAAACAAATTCCATGGCCCTATATCTCCTCCTGATCGAGGTCCTCTTGCGTTTCCCAAGCTGCGCATACTTGAAATAGCAGATAACAACTTTACAGGAAGCTTGCCACCAAATTACTTTGTGAACTGGGAAGCATCATTACTCCAGATGAATGAAGATGGGAGAATCTATATGGGAGACTACAACAATCCTTACTATAGTTACGAAGATACAATGGATTTGCAATACAAAGGTCTGTTCATGGAGCAAGGAAAGGTCCTTACTTCATACGCCACCATTGATTTTTCTGGGAACAAACTTGAAGGACAGATACCCGAATCCATTGGTCTTTTGAAGGCATTGATCGCACTCAACTTATCAAACAACGCATTCACAGGTCATATTCCGCTGTCTTTGGCAAATGTTACAGAGCTGGAGTCACTAGACCTCTCAAGAAACCAACTGTCAGGGAATATTCCTAAAGGACTCGGAAGCCTCTCGTTTTTGGCGTACATAAGTGTGGCCCACAACCAACTCACAGGTGAAATTCCACAAGGAACACAAATCACTGGGCAACATAAGTCCTCATTTGAAGGGAATGCAGGGCTTTGTGGTCTTCCTCTCGAACAAAGTTGCTTCGACCCTGGTGTGCCGCCGTTACAACCAAAGCAAGAAGACAAAGAAGAAGAAGGAGAGGTGTTGAACTGGAAAGCAGTGGCTATAGGATATGCTTCTGGAGTGTTGATTGGATTGGCAATAGCACAAATCATTGCTTCATACAAACCAGAGTGGCTCGTCAAGACCGTTAGGAATGTTTGGGTTTTGTGTTTGATCTTTAAATGTCTGTCAAGTAGTTCGTCTTCTTTTGTAAATCGTCTTCTTTTGTAAAAAAGCATCAAATTTAGTTGTTGTTCTTAAATAAATCGACGTTTGAATAAAAACAAAGAAAATTAGCAACCCGAAATTCGAAAGAGCATATTATTTAAAGGAGAATTCGATTGTTCTTGCTTTTAATGAAAACATGAGGAAAAGGGCAAAAATGAAATTAATATCGGAAGCCAGTGACTTCTCAACGGGATTGGAGTGACAGACAGTGATCTCAATTCCATTGGGAAAATATTAACAAACTGGTTTAGTTAAATTAATGTTATTAGTAGTACCGGTTGAGTGTAAACCGAAATCAGTGGCCATCTCTACGAAGTTCAATCTGCTTTCAAACAGTTTCATGCAGCCTAATGAAGCTTGGGCTTAGGGCCCCCAAAAGTTTTGAGTCCATTAGTAATAAAATTAGGTCCCATTTTTCTAAACCTTTAAGATTTGGTCTGAATTTTTCAAATTTATCTAAAAATCCCCAACAATTTTTTTTTTTTTTTGCTTGGGCCCTGTGTGGGTTACATGAGTTCAGTCTGCTTTCAACGGAGTTCCCTCTTTATAGTTGCTTCTTTCTTAGTCAAAGAAGTTTTAGCTAAAATGCTCAGTCATTTTTAAGTTCTTAACAGGAGATCATTAGAGCTTATGTTTAGATAGATACCAATGAAAGAAACTATGCGCATGAAAACTCTCTCATGCATAGCTGAAAACTGATCCATACAAATCAAACTCCAACCAATCTCAGCAAACTTATGTCACTACTCTTTAAAGCACTAAGGCTATCAACTCTTTGAACTTTTGACTTTGACTGATTCTTCTCCAATCCAAGTAAACAAATCATGCCACTTATGCATACCAAGTCAAAGTTTGTTTTTCTTGTCTTGGTGAAACTCTTCAAATTCAACTTTTGTTCGGGGAATATTGATAAGCGACAGCTCCAATCCTAAAACCACACACTCACATGTATACATATTGAGCTTTTACGTCTCTTTGCTTGAAGAATATCAGTCTGCTTCAATACTTCATGACGACCATGACGTCAAAATCGCGTCTGTGTTTTTCCTCGTTACTCTTACTCCACTGTATCGTCTTCGATTCATACTTCTTAGTGATCAACGCTCTTGCTTGTCGTCCCGACCAGATCAAAGCTCTTCTGGAGTTCAAGAACGAGTTTGAATCCGGTGGTTGCACCCGCATAGATTACTTTAACGGTGTCCTGTGTGATAACAAGACTGGTGCGGTCACGAAGCTAGAACTCCCAAGTGGCTGCTTCACTGGAAATCTCAAACCAAACAGTAGCCTCTTCGAGTTGCATAAGCTTCGTTACCTTAATCTCTCTCACAACAACTTCATTTCCTCTTCACTCCCTTCTGAATTCAGCAATCTTAACAGATTAGAGGTCTTGTCTCTTTCCTCTAATGGCTTCCTGGGTCAAATTCCTTCCTCATATAGTAACCTAACCTGGTTAACCCAGTTGGATATCTCACATAACGAGGTCACTGGTAGTTTCCAGATTGTCCAGAATCTCACCAAGCTTTCCATTTTGGACCTTTCCTATAATCATTTCTCTGGAACCATCCCTTCTTATCTGCTCACTATGCCTTTCTTGTCATATCTAGATCTCCGTGGAAACCATCTCACTGGCCCCATTAAAGTTCCCAACTCGTCTTCTTCATCAAGGCTCGAGCACTTGTTCCTTGGGCATAACAAATACTAAAGCCTATCTCAAAGCTAATAACCCTCAAAGACAGGGCCGGCCCAAGACTAAAGCCCGTAAAGCATGGGCTTTAGGCAGCAAATGTCTATAAAAGAATTTTGGGGCATCATTTTTCATAAATTTATTGTGGTAGAGTGGTTAACACCTCCTTTCTCTCAACATAGTTGCTGAGTTCAAACCTTCCTAGTGTAATTCGTTCCTAAACGTAAGCAACCCAATTGACTTAAGAATCTTTACCTCTCTCAAATCTTTGCTGAACCTTGACCTTTCCGGTAATAATATATTGGCGGCAAGCCTAAGCTCAGATTCTGATATTCCACCAAAATTATACCGGTTGATGTTGAAGAGCTGCAACATCAGCGAGTTCCCAAAGTTTCTAAAGACCCTACAGAATCTAGGGCGTTTAGACCTTTCCAACAATAGAATTAAAGGGAAAGTTCCAGAGTGGTTATGGAGTCTTCCCAGATTGAGCATAGTTAATCTTTCAAACAATTCCTTTAACGGATTTGAAGGTTCCGCAGACATTCTCCGTAACTCATCAGTTACAATGTTAGATTTTAGTTTAAACGCCTTCACAGGATCACTCCCTGTTCCACCACTCTTGATCAACCTCTTTTCTGCATGGAACAATAGTTTCACAGGGAACATACCTCTTTCAACTTGCAACCGAAGCTCTCTCAATGTTCTTGATCTATCCTACAACAACTTCAGCGGCTCAATTCCTCAATGCCTGAGTAAGTTAACAACAGTCAATCTCCGGAAGAACAACTTGCAAGGAACTATTCCTGACATATTTGATAGCAATTCTCTGCTACAAACACTTGATGTTGGGTACAATCAAATAAACGGCAAGCTTCCAAGGTCTCTTGTGAATTGTTCTTTTCTAAAGTTTCTGAATGTGGAGCACAACAAAATAAAAGACTTGTTTCCATTCTCGCTCAAGGTTTTGCCGGATTTGGAAGTCATTTCTCTCCGTTCAAACAGATTTTATGGTCCTATATCTCCTACTCAAGGACCTTTAGGATTTCCTGAGCTACGGATACTTGAAATATCAGATAATAACTTTACCGGAAGTTTGTCACCAGATTACTTTGTAAATTGGAGTGCATCATCAAACAAGATATATGGAGATGGGTGGATGTATATGGGAGACTATGAGAATGCTCTATATCAGTATTTTTATACTTTAGACTTGCAAAACAAAGGTCTATATATGGAGCATGAAAAGGTACTTACTTTCTATGCTGCCATTGATTTCTCTGCAAACAGACTTGGTGGACAGATCCCAGATTCTATTGGTCTCTTGACGGAACTCATTGCACTCAACTTATCCAACAACTTATTCACCGGCCAAATTCCGCTGCCTTTTGCCAATGTTACTGAACTCGAGTCACTAGACCTGTCCCGAAACAAACTCTCGGGTAAAATCCCTCAAGAACTCGGGACCCTCTCGTTTCTGGCGTACATAAATGTCTCTCATAACCAACTCATGGGTGAAATACCAAAAGGCACACAGATTAGTGGGCAACCTATATCTTCCTTTGCAGGGAATGCAGGACTTTGTGGTCTTCCTCTCCAGGAAACTTGCTTTGCCTCTAGTGCGCCCCCAACACAACAAGAAAAACACGAAGATGACGAAGAGGAAGAAGAAGTGTTGAGCTGGAAAGCAGTAGCAACAGGGTATGGGCCTGGACTTTTGTTTGGATTGGCAATTGGACATGTTCTTGCTTTATACAAGCCGGAGTGGCTCGTCAAGATAATTGGTTCGGAGAAGTGCATATACCATTAGAGTTGTTTCTTTCTTGCGTTTGATTCTTGGATCCTCTGTCATATAGTTCATGTGTTTGTAATCAAGCATCATATGTATTAAAGGACATTCTCTTCACCAGCTTTTCCTGTTTCATTTACAATCTCAGCCAGGTCAGTGTCGCTCAACTCATGGATCAAAAACAAGGTGTTCTCATGAAAGTCAACAGATGAATATATTTCAATGAGAAAATGGATTAAACAATGGCAAATGACAGAGAATCTAGCAAGAGGTCCTAACTTTACATAAGAGGAAAGTGCTTAAAGAGTCACATAGACACAAATAGAATATACAAAACTCAGATAGATTAATGGCTTATGTATACCGATCAATTTCCATGTCTTAATTATTATTCTTCAACCCAAAAAAATCAGTCCTTTTCTTAGTCTGATAGTCTCTGCCGCAATCTTAAATTAAGTTTACTTCTTCTTTGTAAGCCACTAGGGCTACAACACACCCATCTCTCTAGAAATATTGACCAAGTCTTATCCAATTATAAACTGATTAATGTGCTATTTCCCTCACAGTTACGCTACCGAGTGTGCGAATCTAACACGTAAGAGATATATTAACTAATCCAAACCTAACAACCTACAAGCCTAAAGTCTTCGCCGAACATGGATGTATATGGCATGTCTAAAAAGTCTTCGCCGTCTCTTTGCTTAAAGCATATTATTCTTCTTAAAACAGTGTTCATGATTACCATGTCATGTCTGCGTATGCATTTTCTCTTGGTACTCTTACTTTGTTGTGTCTTTTCTTCAAGTGTTCATGTTGGACTTGCTGCTTGCCGCCCTGACCAGATTCAAGCCCTAATGCAGTTCAAGAATGAGTTTGATTCCCGCGATTGCAACCAAACTGACTACTTCAATGGAGTACGCTGCGATAATGTGACGGGCATGGTCACAAAGCTACAGCTCCCACGTGGCTGTCTCATTGGAATCCTTAATTCCAACAGTAGCCTCTTCGGGCTGCATCATCTCCGTTCGCTTGATCTCTCTTTCAACAATTTCAGTTCCTCTTCAATCCCTTCCGAATTTGGCTATCTCAACAGATTAGAGGTCTTGGCTCTTTCCACTAATGGCTTCATCGGTCAAGTCCCTTCCTCAATTAGTAACCTAAGTTTGCTTTCTTTTTTAGACCTTACCTATAACGAGCTCACCGGTAGTTTTCCACTTGTACATAATCTAACCAAGCTTTCTGTTTTAGGCCTTTCCCATAATCACATATCTGGAAACATCCCTTCTTCTCTGCTTACACTGCCTTTCTTGTCAACACTTGATTTGACAGAAAACCATCTCACCGGTCCTATTGACATTCCAAACTCCTCTTTTTCATCTAGGCTAGTGAGCCTACGCCTTGCGAATAACCAATTTGAAGCACAAATCCTAGGGCCTATCTCTAAATATATCACCCTCAGAGATCTTGATCTTGCTTCCCTAAACATAAGCCACCCAATTGACTTAAGGCTCTTCTTCTCTCTCAAATCTTTGTTGAACCTCCGCTTATCCGGAAACCAGTTATCACCTGCCAGTTTAGGCTCACATCCAGACATCCCTTTGAACTTGAACCTGGAAAATCTGGCCTTGTCGGGCTGTGGCATCAGTCAGTTCCCAAACTTCTTAAAGAGCCTTCGCAACTTGGAGCTTATAGACATTTCCCACAATCGAATCAAAGGGAAAGTCCCTGAGTGGTTTTGGAACCTTCCTCGTCTGAGCATAGTGACTATTTCCAATAATTCTTTCACAGGTTTTGAAGGTTCGGAGGAAGTTTTAGTGAATTCACCAGTGAGGTTATTAGATTTGGCTTTAAACAAATTTACAGGACTATTTCCTAAACCACCACACGCTCTCAACCTCTTATCTGCATGGAACAATAGCTTCACAGGGAACATACCTCTTACAATCTGCAACCGAAGCTCTCTTTCTGCTCTTGATCTATCTTACAACAACTTCACCGGTTCAATTCCTCAATGTCTGAGTAAATTCCGAAACTCTCTCACTACTGTGAATCTCCGAAAGAACAACTTGGAGGGAAATCTTCCAGACATATTCTATGATGGTGCCTTGCTTCGGTCATTGGATGTTGGTTACAATCGACTAACTGGGAAGCTTCCAAGGTCTCTTCTGAATTGCACCTCTCTCAAGTTTCTAAATGTTGACAACAACAGAATCGAAGACACGTTTCCTTTCTGGCTCAAGGCTTTGCCTCATTTGCAGGTCCTTACCCTGCGTTCAAACAAATTCTATGGCCCTATATCTCTTCCTGGTCAAGGTCCTCTTGCGTTCCCTGAGCTGCGCATACTTGAAATATCAAATAACAACTTTACAGGAAGCTTGCCACCAAATTACTTCGTGAATTGGAAAGCATCATCACTCCAGATGAATAAAGATGGGAGAATCTACATGGGAGACTACAACAACCCTGAGTATAACTATGAAGATACCACGGATTTGCAATACAAAGGTCTATTCATGGAGCACAAAAAGGTCCTTACTTTCTACAGCAACATCGACTTTTCTGGAAACAGATTCGAAGGACAGATTCCTGAATCTATTGGTCTCTTGAAGGCACTGATTGCATTCAACTTATCAAACAACGCTTTCACAGGCCATATTCCTCTGTCTTTGGAAAATCTTAAAGCGCTCCAGTCACTAGACCTGTCAAGAGGGACTATTCCTAATGGACTCAAGACCCTCTCGTTTTTGGGGTACATAAATGTGTCTCATAACCAACTCAAAGGTGAAATACCACAAGGAGCACAAATCACTGGACAACCTAAATCCTCCTTTGAAGGGAATGCAGGGCTTTGTGGTCTTCCTCTCGAACAAAGTTGCTTCAGGACTAACGCACCACCAATACAACAACCAGAGCAAGAAGAAGAAGAAATATTGAACTGGAAAGCAGTGGTGATAGGATGTGTGCCTGGACTGTTGTTTGGATTGACATTAGGACATGTTATAGGTTTATACAAGCCGGAGTGGCTCGTGAAGATAATAGGTCCGGATAAGCGAAGAAACCATTAGGATTGTTTCTGGTTTTGTGTTGTTCTTTGAATATCTGTCATTCTTTTGTAATCAAGCATATCATATATATCAAAGATACTCTCTTCACCAGCTTTTCCTATTTCATTTTCAATCTCAGCCAAGGTCAACGTCCCTCAAGCTGCACAAGTAGTGGAAGAGGAAAACGTCAACATGGACCAAAGACAGCAACAGATGAATATTTTCAATCATTGCCCACAAAAATATTTAATGATTAAACAAAGCAAACCCAGAGAGAGAGAATCTGTCTTAAGGTCTAGTTCTAGGACCTAAACCCTAGAAGATCAATCCGAGTTGTTTCAAAATCCGAAAGAGCATATTTACATGCTAATGAAATCAAGAGAAACTAAGCACAAATGAAATCACCTGGAACTGCTTGATTTCGGAAGTCTCCACCGACAGACACTTCGACGAGACTGACGGTGATCGCAATCGCTCCGTCGTTATCGGGCGAGTTCCTTCGTCGAGTTCACCAAATATTAACAATCCGGTTTAGTTGAATTTATCTATTACCGGTTGAGTGTAAAGCGAAATCAAATGTAGTCTTGGTAAATTAATTTACGTGATTCTGGTTTAGCTTCTTCTTCTTCTTTGTCAAAAGAAAAAAACACACTTCACTTGAAGTCTTGAACAATCAAGCAAAGAATAGAATGTTGTTTTCCTAATTTATTCACTACTGAAACATTTTCATTTTTTGAGTAAATATGTTTTCCTTATTTATTCACTACTGAGTAATACAGTAATACACTGATCAATTTGCAGAATAAAAGGCAAACTTTTTAAGATTTTAGGAATAAACAACTTCAAAAGCTTTTTATACCAAAAAATTACAGAATGTTTTGTTGATTTGCTATTACATTGTTTTTTTTGTATCAGCTTAAGCTCTAACATACAAAAATTTCAGTACATGGATAACAGAAAAAAAGTACAACACATTCGAGAAAGAGTAGTTTTTAATTTTTACCCCCAAAAAATGGATGCCATAGGAGCAAACGAACAGAGAAAGGCTTTGTCAAAATTTTCTCCACCTGCATAATTGTTGTAACAGATTAATGACATAGGAGCAAGACAGACAGACCAAGGATAAAACAACATTATGATGAGAAATTACCTCAAGGCTCAAGCTATAGCACAAAATCAAACTTTGTCAAAACTAGTTGCAGATGGCGAGCTTCCCGTTCACTTCATCTGCCAAGCCATAGTCCAGGCTTAGCTCGGCCAACGGTGATATGTTCTCCAGCGCAAAAAGCATCACGCGGGGGAACATCAGGTGGTTGTGGTCGTACAAAACAAACTGCACCATCACATTCGGATCTTTGCTGTGACTAATGTAGCAAGCCACGTTCCTCATCCTTGACACATCCATTGCGAAATCCAGGGGAGGGAGAGATGGATAATCCGGCCTAACAGAATCTGGGTATACTTGAGATAAATCACCCCAGTTACGCCATTTGTCTGTGAACCGACCAGGATAGACCATAACATCCCCATTCATTGACAGAATCTCGGCCTGATGTCTTGTGACAACAACACCTGCATATTCGCATATGAAAGCACCAGCTTCAATTAGATCGAGTGTCCTGACACCCCAACCGGTTTCCTTCGATCTGAAAACCTCTAGCCTATTCCTCAATCCCTTCTGTGTCACACGGCTCTTACAGTTCGGACCGCACGTGCATAATTCCCCACATTCAAATACCACATCTTTTCCTCTTAATAGATGCCCGTTATCATCATATGCAAACTCACCACCGTTCTTCCTTGCACAGAGACAATCATCAGTACAGGAGAGCTTACAATCGCAGCCAGTCCTGCTGATCCCCCCTTGACCAAAAATTCCAGGAGGAAAGACAGATTTTGCAATGTACTCATAGTGTCTCGGTTCTTGATCACCATCTACGTCATTATATAGAAACACAGGGACATTCTCCTTCTTGTTAGAAAGGTCAAAGCTAACATAACCAGTAGGCCTAACCATCAACGGCTTACTTCTAAGAGTTTGTGCAAACCTCATTACCGCACTGCCCATCATCGGTTGCCCATCCATTCTAACTAACCTAAATTTAAACACCCCAAAACCAGACTTCCCCACAGCAAACCAGCAATCTACTATCTTATACAAACCATCATATACATACACCTTGGAGCTTATACTGTTCTCATACTTAATACCTCTAATTACACGTACCTCGATACCGTAGTGCATACTCCTCTCCATTCCCAGATTCCCACCTACTAGCCTCTGGTTATCACACTGCTTGTGTTGCTTATCCTGACCACCGTGACCAGTATAAACCAGAACATCTCCTGTATCTTCATCATCCTCGTAACCACCTGAGACAACAATGCTGGTAGCTATAGGCTCTCCAGTGGCACTCCGTTCAGCCGTTAAACAGTCAATTCCGGCTTGTGTCTGGCCGTGTAAGCCCACCACACACAATTCCATTCGGTAGAAGAAAATATCACCAATCTCAACCCCGGAGATTGGACCAACTATATGCTTATCGTAATTCAACCACAGTCCCCGATCCCTCATTATATACGCAGCCGCCATATCGCTCCTCCGTCTACGCCCTTGACCAAGTACAGGGTTCTTCATACTCTCCGCCATTAGATGAATCCGAAGAGACTCATAAGTCATCCGAGTTCGTTTCATGACTTGTCGGAGTTCCTTCCGTTGATCATGACCTAGAATTGCAATTCTCGCCAGCTCTCTCGGTCTCTCGAATTTCGTCGGAGGAGGCGAGACAACGACGGTTGATACTCGATTATCCCCAAACCCGGGAGGCGGTTTAATCAATTCCCGGTTCTCTTCCTCCGGTACAGTGACAATCGCACCGGAATCCAAACCGTAAACAGAAACGCCGTCTAATCCTTCAATCTGATGCGGCTTGAATGCCGAACGGAAGAGCTTGGAGATACGTATAAACTCGGCGATGAGATCGGTACTGGCTGATTGATCGGAGAATGACGAAGGCGGAGTTTGACATTCTTCAACTGGCTCGGCCTTAACTTCTAACTTTCCGGTGACTACAGTGTCTCCGGCTGTTGTTCCGGCGGTGGAGGATTGAGAAGCCGGCATTAGGTTGAGGTCAGGAAATGGTACCACTGTACTCATCCTTCCCAATGAACCGAAAACAGAAACAACACCTGCTGGGCTCCGAGTCCGAAAACTATTCGGGTCACGATTTTGACCCGGCTTAAAAGTGTTTTTTGCATTCCTTCGAGGTTCTCTCAACTTGTACACGGAACTGTTCCTGTTTATTGGAAATATAATAATTCAAAATTGGTTTTAGACTTTTAGTTAATCAATAATTTGTCAATAATTCGTACCAATAGGCAGAGATTTATTACAAATGAAAAAGATGTTACAACAGAACGAAAGAATGACGTTGAAAATTTTCGACAAATCATATTTTTCAAAAATTTTTTATATATTTGACAAATCTTTAAATCTATTTGTAATTTAATTTTAATACTTTCAAAAATAAAAAAAGGAGATTTTCCGTTGTTTGTTTACAATTTTTGTTATTATTAGTATTTAAATTTAGTTTTTGTAGATGTTTTATTGAACAGTGACATGTATCTTAAAATGGTTTATGTTCGTTTTATTCTTGTGTTCCTACCAATTCAAATCTGCAAAATGTTTTTTATTGATAAAAAGTATTTTATTATGAAAAAATTATGTTATTGTGTGACACGCTAGTTTAAAAAGTGATAACTTAAAATTTTTATCATAAATATTAGATTAAACTCATATCATGTTTAATACTAACGTGTTAAATTATAACTTAGTTTTATTTAGAAGATTGATGTGTTTGAATTCAACTTTAATCCGATACTAATTGATGGGCTTGTATCCAATTTTAATCTTTTTTTTTTTAAGGATAAAATTGTAAAATGAGATTAACTTTTTTCATCTTCTTATAGTTAAAAAAACCCTAATTTACAACGGCGACGATTCTATATATTTTCTTTGTGATTTTGGTGTGTAACCATTACTTTTAATGGTTTAAACTTTAAACCACAAGATCTTTACCACAACATCAAAGATCTTGTAATACACATAGGTCTAACTAAGAAAAAACTAAAGTTTAGAAAAATTTAAAAGATGTCGTCTATTTCGATCCACAAATTCATATCATAATGGTTCTGGGGACAGAATTTTGGAATTTTGTGTTTTAGAATAAAATATTGTTTACAGTTTAGTTTTGTGATCAATTAGATAATTTAAACATTAAAATACATATACATATGTATGAATTAAGATCGTAATTCATTATAATTGATAACTAATAGAATTTTAAATGAAGGTTTGTAGAATACCTCATTTCTTCTCAGAGTCGGATGTGTTAAGAGAAGACACGACTTTGTTCTTTACAATTTTTTTTGTTTTTACTCTCTTTGCATACGAGTTTTAGATGCTTTGACAAATGACGAAAATCATATAGTTATAGAGGAAATGACGAATCTTTTTAAGATTTTTCTTATAACTTTGATCTTAACCTTCCGTGTTTAAATCATGATAATAATTCAAAAAATTAAATCTGAATTATACTATCATAAAAACATATCTTCTATATATTAATTGCCAAATATATTTCAGACTAAAATCCTAAAATTTTAAGGAAATTACCAAAATAATGTCATTATAATTAAATACAATATTTAGTATATTTGCTTAATTCAAATATAAATATATATTTCCTTTTTGATCGGAAAAAGATATTCATGTTTATAATTTATTAATTTACAAAAATTGAAAGAAGTTGAATTTTTTTTTTGAAAATATTTTCTTTCGAGCTAAAAAGGAAATATACATTTATATTTAAATTAATAAAGATAAACCAAAAAGATATTGTATTTAATTCTAACATCATTTTTGGTAATTTTCTTAAAATTTTACGGTTATACTCTGAAATATATTTCTCAATTAATATGTAGAAGATTTGTTTTTATGACAGTACATCCCACATTTATAATTTTTTTTATGTTATTACTGCTCTACAAATTATTTTAGGATTTTTTTTTATAAAATGTGATAGAATTCTCAACTATTGTTTTTAAATATTATTTTATACTAGATC